CTCCGCTTCCTCCTCCGGCTCGCCCTGGACCTCTTCCAGGGAGTTCCAGAGCAGCTCATCCGATTCGGTTTGGTCTCGCGGACTCTGCTGCCTGTCTTTGGGACAACCTCGGTTGTAGGCGCGCACGTACTCCTCCACGCTCTCGCCCGTGTATTCGGGAGGCGAGCGACACATCAGTCCCGAGGGCCTCACCACTGGGTGGAGTCGAAGCCAGTACATCATGTAGTGGATGCTGCAAAGTGGACTTAGTTTTATTTGGGTTTTGATATTAAGAGAGGAATATGAGACATCTGTGGTGTTCATGTTGGTTACACCCCGCTCGTCTGTTTTTGCAAGCATTGACTTGTGGTGTCAGAGGCACTGTTGTACATTTGCAACCATAATTCTTATATTTATTCCATGGAATTGTATGTATTCATTCCCAACAGTCCGAATTGTGTTGTGTCTCTCTTGGCTGCACTGTTAGATTTTGTTTATTTTTCCAATTAGATTTCAGCCCCTATGTGTTGCCATGTCAATCAATGGGGCGAGCAGTGAGACCGTTTAACGATTTCAAATTCATCCTCACTAGGTGCTCGTGCTTGTCCTTGTTGATGTCAGCATTTTTCCATCCTGCAATTGGCTGGACAGAGCAAAACTTGGAAGAGCTAATTTTGACTGGCGAAGAAGTGGACCACGAGACGTTAACTCCTGACATTTTATAATGTCCCCTAGTCCTAGTGGCGCACAATTGTCAACAAGCGCGCGTTTTTGGCAAACTAGTCATGTGGACTTTCTCTAATAGTAGGCAAAAGTTTCCCTACTAGTGTAATATATGTAGATCAAAGCCTCTGTCTTTCTCAATCCAATTTGACGGCCTTTCAAATTGTTAGCGCTGGCTGGCTGTAACAGCATAAAGCTGAGTTAGCCGGCCCACAATAACGTTGGCATATTTCTGTCTTGTGGTTGGTAAGAGCAAGCCAAGTGCTTGTGTCAAATGCTTTTGTCATTTTACAAGAGAAATATTGATTCAAAATTACTCAATGATGTGCAAGTTGCAGTGGCATGCTGTTCCATTGCATTTGTTGTCTACATTTCAGTTCTTGGGGCGGAATACTTGAACTGACCGTGGACAATCATCCCTCTTTATTGTTTGTACATAACACCTACTTGAAACCTACTTTTGTGACACTAAACAGGGAAAGTCTATCAACTCCTCCTTTGACAACACAACAAGGTTGATTTTGTGTGTGTGTGTGTTTCTCGGCCAGAAACAATGTTGTTTAACCTGCTCTATTACAGCCAATTTTAGTCTCAAGAGATGAGGAGTTTGCATGTTCTCCCCGTGCTTGCATGCGTTTTCTCAGGTACTCCCATTTCCTTCATCATTACAAAAACATGCATGTTGGGACCACTGAAGACTTTATATTGCTCACTCCTGACTGGATGGGCAGTAAGGGAAATAGATGAGGCGTTAACACAGGTTAGATTCTGGGTTTGAATCGTGGCTTGGAACTTTCTGTTTGGAGTTTGCATTTTTTCTTACTACCCCTATTCCAGCTTTCACCCATATTCCCAAAACATGCCATGTACATTATGTACCCGGAGACTCTAAATTAACCATGAGTGTGAATGCCTGTTAGTCTTTATGTGCCCTGTGATTGGCTGGCTCCAACTTACCCACAACACTAATAAGAATAAGGGCTATTGAAAATGGAGGAATTCCAATGTATTTGCTTTCTTTACAATTTATGATGAATTTTAGTTTTGCCTGTAAAGTCTACATTTACAGTAGCAAGAGATACTGTGTAAGCAACATGAAAACCAAAGAGCTGCCATGGTGGAAAACCACTATAGAAAAATTATAAGGCCCACCTATAATCGCACACCCAAGGGTTTCCCCCCAGCTTCAGCTTGGACAGGAAGTAGAGATCTTCAAGGACCCCATACTGGATGAAATGTAGGCTGTTTTCTGACAGGTCCAACTCGCGGAGGTGGAGGAGCCCGAACAAGGAAGCTGCAGACGTGCACAAGAGCAGGGTGTTTACCCGCCACAACCAGTTACCGTGACCAGTAAGCACCAGGTCAAGCAAACTGAGTCTGCTGAAGGGGAAGCTTGTGCAGTGTTATGTAATCCAATTCAGCTCTCTCATATTTGCACAGAAAGCTCATGGTCTTTAAATGGCAGAAAATTAAAACCAGAGGTTCCCAGCAGATGTAAACCCCCCCAACTATTGGCCGCTCCGGGAAAAACACACAAAAAAGCCTTTTTCTGTCATCTTGGATCAAAGACATGCTGTGAAATTGGCTGCTTTGTTGCTGTAGTAACGCACTCTTAAGCACACACTTTAGTTCGGGCTAATCTGGTTTCGGGTAAAATTTCAGGATGAACTTGAGTTGCACTGCACATGAAACCATTTTGATTTTCTCTCAACTGTTGAATGCTCAGGTCCAACAGATCCATTTTTCTTGCCCCTTTTTGCTCAAGTTTCTGTTCTAACAAGTACCATGAATAGACCAAAAAATGTCTTTGTTCAGTTAGAATTCCTATTAAAACAGTTCTCTTTATGATACTGTCACATTATCATCAGCAGGTGGCAACAGAGCTAAGACCGGAACAGTCGGGGAAAGGTATAGACGTGAAAAGGTATAGGCGTGAACGTCCTTAGAAATGTCCATAGATAAGACAAAACATGTTGCCATTAAGCATTTCTCACTCCATCGTCGGAAAAAATGTGTCCAAAACTCTCCGTCCGTTTTTCTTGACAATCTTCCCGACTGGGTGACTCATTCTGTCCAGCGCTTGCTTATGTTTTCATCACCTCTTGTGTTTTGATCTCACCAACTAGAGGCGGTGCGTAAATTGGTGGGAGTTTTGAAAGCCTGCGTCCTCAAACGCATCGTGACCGCATGGAAGAATGTTGTAAGGGACTCGCAGAGGACCAAGGATTACTTCAAGGTATCAGATCATTTGAAAATACAGTGAAATTCTGCTATGTAGAGACGACACAAAAGTAATTTTTTAAAATATAATTTCGTCCCTCCCCTGCTTAAAGAACATTTTAACTCATTCAAACACTTTTTACAGTATTTCTTAGCTTCTGTTCTCGACTCTATAACATCAAATTGAAGAAACAAAAAGAAGACTTGCATGTGCAGTTTTCCCAATAAGATGCGAGGTGTGCTTGCTTCAAGTTATTAATTAAACATTGTATATATAAATGACAAATTGTTCAAACAAAAATCATCAATTTGTCTAACAAAAGTCCGCTAGCTTAAAGGGGATGTCAGGTTTAAAAATTTTCTTTACAAAAATAATATTCGATGTGGCCCCACTAGTCTAAACCTAGCATTGTTATTAATATTGCAAAAAAACGTAGACTTGACTTCCCCTTAATGCAAACAGACAGACAAACCTTTAAACAAATGGTACTTTAAGAGCAGCAACACAGTGTATAACAAAAAGTCTGAATAAAACCAATTCGTGCAAGAACCAAAGTAATTTTTCCCAATGGAAATAATGTCAATCCAATTAGCATTCCAGAAAAAATATTACCCCTCCATCCCAAAATTAGGGAAAATAATGTAACATACAAAAAATAATGTATAAATGAATAATGAAATAAATAAATGACCAATAAAAGCACTTTTAACGTTTATTGTACGCCACTGAGTCATGGTCCCTCGGACCATGTTATAGTCTGTTAGCACCTGCTATTGGTGAAACGCTGGTACTGCAGCTAAGCAGTGAATGATGTCGTTCGGTCTGTCTGCAGTTCACTCAAGTGCGGCATCCTGTAACACAGCAACGTCTGACCAGACTTAAATTTGACTGACAAAATATACAGAAGAAACAAAACCCTAAACTAAATCCAAACATTTACAAAAACAAAATCCGAATAAAACTAGCTAACCCACGGAAAAATTCATTAAATTGAAACAATTATTAACAAGTCAAGACAAAATTTAAAAAAATGAAAAATCCCCAAACGTGTGCGGTTTGATGTTGCAGAGACTTCAGAATGAACTGGAGATGGAGCGCCAGCAAAGCCAGGTCGGGGAGGGATGCGACTGGCTCTCAGCCTTACCCAACCACATCTCACTTAAGGTCATTAATCCAAAGCTTCCGAGTTTTCTTATCGATCAAGTACACATGCAAGCTACAAATCTCAGACAGGAGTCAGCCACAGCTCACAGCCAGGCACTCACACACAGGCATACTGAGGTCACGGATCATCCTACCAGGCCCCGTCTCTTAAAA